GGCGCAGAGAAGGCCCCGAGAGGGCGCGAGGAGAGCCCCAGAAGGAGGTGGCAGTGTATGTTAGAGAGAGAGAGAGAGAGAGAGAGAGAGAGAGAGAGAGAGAGAGAGAGAGAGAGAGAGAGAGAGAGAGAGAGAGAGAGAGAGAGAGAGAGAGAGAGAGAGAGAGAGAGAGAGAGAGAGAGAGAGAGAGAGAGAGAGAGAGAGAGAGAGAGAGAGAGAGAGAGAGAGAGAGAGAGAGAGAGAGAGAGAGAGAGAGAGAGAGAGAGAGAGAGAGAGAGAGAGAGAGAGAGAGAGAGAGAGAGAGAGAGAGAGAGAGAGAGAGAGAGAGAGAGAGAGAGAGAGAGAGAGAGAGAGAGAGAGAGAGAGAGAGAGAGAGAGAGAGAGAGAGAGAGAGAGAGAGAGAGAGAGAGAGAGAGAGAGAGAGAGAGAGAGAGAGAGAGAGAGAGAGAGAGAGAGAGAGAGAGAGAGAGAGAGAGAGAGAGAGAGAGAGAGAGAGAGAGAGAGAGAGAGAGAGAGAGAGAGAGAGAGAGAGAGAGAGAGAGAGAGAGAGAGAGAGAGAGAGAGAGAGAGAGAGAGAGAGAGAGAGAGAGAGAGAGAGAGAGAGAGAGAGAGAGAGAGAGAGAGAGAGAGAGAGAGAGAGAGAGAGAGAGAGAGAGAGAGAGAGAGAGAGAGAGAGAGAGAGAGAGAGAGAGAGAGAGAGAGAGAGAGAGAGAGAGAGAGAGAGAGAGAGAGAGAGAGAGAGAGAGAGAGAGAGTGACAGTCCAACGTTCATTCCAACTGCGAGGCTTGGGGCGGGGTATAAGGGGTGGTTGGAGCCATGCATAGCCCATAAGGCTAGGGTGCTCCGAAGCACCCGTTTGCAAGACAAGACCCATGAGGGGTCCAGGAGTCTACAGAACCAGAGGGTACAACGGACCGTGTCCAAGAAGACGTGAGGCAGCCTCCCAACTGATTTAAACCATCAAAGATGTGGCGGGCGAGAAATAGAGGGTGCCCTTGGGCCAACTTGGCACGGAGAGGAGGCCTTAAGGAGATCACGGCCCTCCTGTAGGACCCCGCCGTGGCAGTCCCACTAGAACAAATCCTTTTCTAGAATGAGGATGATCTAAAATGTCTATGAAACCACAGCCTGAGGAAGACTGTCTCGAGTTCTGTAAATATTTTGTACTGTTGTAGTGACTGGAAGTCCCATACAATCACTGAGTTCCCCTCACAGGCCTGAACTGATTCTTTAAGTGGATAGGAAATAAAAATGTTATAAAAGTGTTAGTGCACTGTTCAGCCTCCAACAGTTAAGTGAGTGCCACTGATTTTGCTTGGACGTGGGCTGGTAAAGGCTGTGGAACCAAACCACTGAAGATTTTTCCACTTAAATTGTTCATCTTGCTATGAAAAGCAAATACAGTGTTCATCCAAAAAGGTACTGAGCAGTCTCCTCTGGCTAGCCAGAGTAGTCTTGCCTTTACAGTTTTCTGAAAGTTTAAATAACGAACCCTTTTCAGACAACAGAAACAATCATAAAAGTTTCAAAACCAAGTAGAAGTAGCCCCCAGATCACAGCAAATTCCTTTAAAAACAAAGGATAAACATATCTTGGAAAAAAATATCTAGTTAAATGAAATTCCTAACAATGCAGGGTCATCTTGCTGTGACTAATGTTTTTCTGTAATAATTAGAACCATCCAAAATTATTTCTCGCAGAGCTATTGCTTTTTTTATTAATGTTATACTTCAGAAATATCTTGAACTGTTCTAACTCATAACTCAGAGCCTTGTTACACGGTAATTTTGAGTGGCTCCTGGAACTCTTAACACCTGGACTGCCTACATGTTAACACATATGAGGCTCAAAATTATACCACTCCAGGGCAGGATTCTCTCTGATCTGTACTAGGCAGCTCCTGTTACAGGAAGGTATAGTCACTCTAGGCAATACCTAAGTATAAACATCCCACCAGCCCTGCTCTCCTCTGTTGGTCCAGATTGGGCCCACTGCCCCCAGCCCTCCCCAGAACCCCAGATCCCCTCTTATGGCCCCCTTTCCTTGTTTGTGGCTGCCCACACTGTCCCAGGGAAGAGGCAGGGAAGAGTTAACCTGCCTGCCTGGCTGCCCCTGCTGCAACTTTCTGGGCAGGCTCAACCCTAAGAAGAGCAGCAGCCTGGCAGAAGGACCTGGGCAGGCAGGTTAACCCTTCCTTGCCTGCTTCCCTGGGACAGATAGCCCGACAGCTACAACTAGGCAGGCGTGCAGTGGGGAACCCCAAAAGGCAGGGGAGGGACCTGGAATGGGAAGGGGGTGGGATTCTTACCTTTCAGTCCTCCATGCTCACCTGAAGTGACTGCTCCAAAACTCAAAGCAAGCACTAACATCAACCAACATTTGTGCAGCTTACAGTGTAATGTTTAATAGGGCCCTCACTTTAAATCAATTGTGAAACAAAATACCAGGTACCCCCATTGGTTTGGTGCACTATTATTTCCCCGGGGGGGGGGAGTTGGGTTTTTTTAAAACACAAGTAAAAAGTTAAAAATTGAAAAAAAATTTTAACCGAAAAAATGTATAATTTGTGTAAAATTTAGTATGATGCCAGGGGGAAGACGGGATTTTAAATTGCCTTCTTTTAAAAGTAGTCTCTGTATACCACTGTTATACTACTGCAGCATGCACCATCTAGGTGGTTTATACTGAGAATTGTTGTATTTGGTTTTGTGAAGACTCACCTTGCTGTATGTTGTGCATGTTTCAGTCCGAGAGTCAGCATTATCTGTGGAAGATACATAAAGAAGACTCTTCTGTGCATTTCAAAACTTTTTCAGATAGGGAGTATGCAGATGTCAAACTGACACTGTTTATACCAGAGATTTTTTCTTCCCCACTTATGTCTATTAAAAAAAAGCAAGCAAGCAAGCTGCAAGTTGGGATATAAAGATCTAAGATAATAGAATACTTCTTTCTCAATGTACAGAACAGATGCATCAAAACTGTACACAGTGCCAGATAAGAGGCCTAGCAGCAGGAATAAACTGACCCTCATAACAAGTGCTCTTGCAGACTGAGCAGTGTACTGAAAATGAAAGCTCTCATATCTGGCTCAATCTCTCCAAAAATAGTAGATTCTATTTTACCTGGCCCCCAGAATGGATGAACACAGAAGCCAATAGCTGTTTTCTAGGTTGACTTCACTTGCCATGTGATCAGGGAAAATATGGAAACTGATAAAAGATACTATTCTCTAAAGGGCAGAGAAAGCAAAAACTCTGAGAATGTCAATCCTTGTTTCCTCCCAAAAAACAAATCATCAGGGAGCGTGGAAGGATACTACCACATATGGGATTACAGTGCGAGAAAAGCTGGACCTCTGAATTGCCTGCTGGAAATTTCCCCAGGCTCTGGGTACATTTATCTCCCTCAGGGTAATTGTGAAAATGAAAAATATCTTCTCCAGAGCAATGGAGAGGAAGTGAAGCTAAGGGATGCCAAAAACTGCAAGTGTTCTTTAAATTTAATGGAAAGCTCAATTACATTTGCTACTCATTAAAAAAAAACAAACAGAAAGCTCTTCCTTATGTGGGTGGGTCTGCTGTTTAAGCAACATGCCTACCAGACACTAAGGAGTTGTCTCATTGGGACTGCTGAGTGTTAATGGTAGAATTCCAAGGCACGTGGTGGCCAGATGGAAGAGAGACAGACTTTTCAAATGGTTTCATACTATCAGTGCGGTAGGCAGGGATTGGGGAGATCAAAGCAATTATAAATTCAATATTTGTTAATGGAACTACTTGGAATGAATTAAAAATATCACTAGAAATGGGAGTGTTCAAAATATTGCATAAAAGCCTTAGGGAAATTTTAAAAACAGAAAGTAAAGGGTTTTACTGTCTGTTCTCTTGACCAGACTCAAAAATCTAATGTTCACTTATAATAAATATCTATATATATGCAGACATAAACTTTATTTCTTTTCCCTGATTTATTCCTTCTTCTCGCTATGTCTTCAGCAGGGATTCTGGTTTTCTCTGATAAAAAAAATCCCCAATTTTTGGATTTAAAAAAGTAACCCAAAATCCAATTTTTCCGTGATTAAAATGAAACATGAATAATAAATACATACATACAGTGGTGTTTCATTTTGATCATGGAAAAATGTGGATTTGGGATTACTTTTTTAGCTTGAAAATTGGGGATTTTTTTTAATCACAGAAAACCAGGATCCCTGGTCTTCAGTGAAAGTACCAAGGTTTATGAAGAAGAGCACTTTTAACAGAGATAATCAAGGGACAGTGAAAGAGATCTTGGGCAGCAGTTTAACCAGCATCCTGCATCCTTTTCCAATATTAAAACCCCAATGCAGAAAGATGCATAAGCACACGCTTGTTTTTGTGTCAGACGACACAGAAAAAGGGCTGGAAGGGACCTCAGGAAGTCATTTAATCTAACCTACTTCTCAAGGCAGAATCATCTTTATCTATGTATCCTATACAAGTATTTGTCTAACGTATTCTTAAAACTGCATTAGCAACTCTTATCCACAGGCTACAATGCCTGAACACATCAAGAACACTAACTTGCCACAGGTAAAACAGAAGGACAAGGCAGGAAGTTGTTTGTTAAAACATGAGCACAAAGGCCCCTTTTTGGTCTTAATCAGGGAATACTTAAGCATGCAAGCAAACTTCCCTGTCTGTTAACGAGACTGTACATACACTTACAGTGAGATGCACAGTTAAATAACTACTAAATCAGGGCCAACATGGAACAAGAAATTTAGGAAGCAGAGATCTATCCTTTTTTCTGAGTCTGGAAATTTCCAAGTATCTGTTAGGGAAAAACATACTCCACTTAGTGGAGGTTCACACTCATACTTATACAGACTAACTGTCAGTGGCCAAGTCTACATGCCAGCTTCAGTGTGCCCAGGAGCAATCACCTTTGGAGCAATCAACTCTGGAGTTTATACATGAGCAGCATGCAGAGCCAGATCAGAGCAGCCCTGGCTACCAGGGGGCCCTGGGGATCAGCCTGCCAACCAAGGGCAGCTCTCCCTGGCTCAACTCACTGCGGAGGGGCTGGCTGGGGCGTGAAGGAGTTGTACAGGCTGACCCTGCACAAAAGCACCCTTGGGCCACAGCCTGTCCCTCCAGCATCTACATGTAGGCTGCTGCAGAGTTTTTTACTTTGCAGTATTTACACGTACTATCCTGCTGCAGAGTAAATTAGTTTACTCCAACCTAAAAGGGATGCATGTGTAGATGCTGAGATGTTTACTGTGCAGCTAATTAGTCAACTGCACAGTAAAGTTTTCATGCAGACACACCCAGTTTAATCAAAAGTAGCCTTTCCAGGGGATCAGTTAAGGAGTAAGGAGAAGAAAAGTTCTATATGGCACCATGAAATCAATACCAAAAAGGTACCTGGAAAAATATACTCAGGTTCACTATGCCATTCTACAACTTTAATGAGCAACCCAATTTCTATGGAGCAGTTCTCCAGGAAATCAGTGTGTGTTGTAGCACACATACCCATGTTCTAAGAATAAAGAAACCGTTACTTCAATTTTATTAATGAACTGACTATAAAAGTTAAACCTTTCATGTTTCTTTTCTAAACGTACTACATTTCTCTGTTCAGAAGGTTTCACACAGTTCTATCTTCAGCACTAACAACCGCAGTTTAAAACTGCATTTGAAGAGAAAATTGGTCCTCTTTCTGTTTTTGTATTTTATGATACAATCATATAAAGTATAAGGATAAGCTACTCACCTCGCTTAATGGCCAGTGGAATCTTGAACTCACAACGATGGTAACTAAAATATTGAAATAGTAAAGTTATTAGGAAAAGAAACAAGACAGACTAGTGGTCTGACTGAATTATTAATTTTTTAGCACTGACATTCTGATGAATTTTATTCTTTATGTGACTTGTTCTCAGCCTCAATGCTAATAAATTAACGAGGAGAACACCAACATTTCATTTTCTTTATGAAGGAAGGAGACAGACTAATAATGAAATGACAACATTTCCTAAAGTTTATTAAGGAAAGTCAGCTGCATAGCAAAACCTTGCTGATGGCACCAAGTTGATTGAAAAATGTTCAGCTGAGAAACAATGTTCAGTTGTTGGATTTTTTCCATTCCCCAATACTAAGAACAGGCTCTTGCTCTTCAGATTTCCTATTGTTCATTCCTTAACTTAAAGTCCTCTATAGCTTGGTCCACACTTAAAAGTTTGGTTAGCAAAGCAAACCATTCCATTATGAATGTAAAGAGGGGCAGGAGAGAAATTATCACCGACAAACAGTTAATCTAGTAAAAGTCACAAACACACTAATATACCCATTAAAGTATTTTCTTTTAACAATATAAGCTGCATCTTTAATAAGAGAATTGCTAGTATAACTATTCCAGAAAATCCTTTCCAATATAGAAAAAAAGCTTATGAATCAAATTGTTGCGGAACATGTGTCAGAGGGTTGAGACCAGATGGGAAATGAGACGTAGGAAATTTTAAAAAGCATTATATTTGCAAATAATTATCTTTTGACATAAAAGAAAGGATTACATTTCTAGAAAGTGTTACAGTACTACATACGGGTGCCTGAAAAATACATTTGCGATTAAGGGTCACTGGTATTTCAAAGAAATGAACAGAATTCTGCTATGACCTACATAGGCTAGTACCACTTTTAGTGATCAGTGTGATCTCAGTGTTGTCTGTTCCGAATGCTAAACTAGTAAAGTGCATGGCATATTAAGACAACCTGCTGTAAATATATGCAGATACATTCAACTGCTCATTTTCCTTCCATATAGCTGTAACAATCCAGTGTATTCACTTGTGTAGTTTTAATAGCTAAAACTTGCCATATACTGCTTTGTCTTCATGAAAAGATACAAAAAATAAATGCATCTAAGGACTGTTCCTAAGGAGAAAATTAGACTCACAGGCTGAGAAAAATAACTTCTTGGGATAACATTTTAAATTACCAATGCTCATGACTATTGTCTCAGAAGGAATATATTAACTAACTTTGCTGTGATATTGTATTTGTAAACATGTTGTAAAATATTATTCTGCAATACTTCTTACTGCCTCCAAAGAAGACTGTGACTTCCCATACATCTCCAACTCATAATAAATGTGCAACTAGACCTCAAAGATCATCTAGTTCATCCATGTGCTCCTAGGCAAAATTGAGTATTTGTACACCATCTCTCAGGGAAGTTTGTCAGCCTGGTCTTAAAAACCTCCATGGATTGGAATTCTACTCTGTAGGTAACCAATGTCAGGATTTATTTGTTCCCACAGTAAGAAAGGTTTTCCTATAACCCTAAGTTTCTCCTTTTTTAATTAAGCCAACTACTTCTCAACCCATCCTACATACTTGAAGATTTACGTTCTCACTTTCGAAAACCTCCACGTGTTTCAACATTTCCTAAATCTCTGATCACTCTGTGTGTTGTCTTCTGATCTTTAGTTTTTCTACATCTTTCTTAAAATACGGCACCTCAAATTGGGCAAAGGATACCTACCAGCTGAGGTTTCCCCAGTACTGAACAGCACAGGAAAAATGCTTTTCACATCCTTATAGCAATGGAAATGTTGTACATGTGCCCAAATGACATTTTCTTTCAAAATATACATCAACTCACAAAAGAACTGAAAAATAGCCCCATTAGTGGTAGCTCTAAATTCTACCCCATCAATAGTGGCCAAAAGCTGCTTGGCAGAGACTACAGGATTTATGGTTGGCAGATCTGTAATTCATTTTTAGGGTAATACTTTAAACTTACATGTTGAAGTTGTAATGACCAGGATAATTTGTATGCAGGACAAACTTCTTCACCTTGTGAGTATTTGCATCAAAAAGAATATCCTATTGCAAAAAAGGAGAGACATGAAAAGAAAGAGTTGTGAAGGAATATAGTGTACCCTAAATATACATCAAGGCAGGTGTAATTACATATTAAAAGTAACAAGAAAAGGTGCTATTTAAAGAAAAATTGAGAGAAATATCTGTAAATGCAAATTCATTACTTCCCCCAGAAACTGACAACCCAACCATAATTATATTGCTAACGTGACAATGTATTAATACTTGTAACACTGGCAACTTCTATAAGCAAGGTTGTCTATTATCATTCAATTTATACTCATTCAAGATATTTAGAACCTCAATTTCTGATCATGTTAAATTGAAGAGGAGCATGGAAAAAACATGGTTACAAATACCAGAGAAATATGAAGACAGTTAGGCACAGGCATGCTAAAGCATTTGCTGGGACAAGAGGAGCTTTGAATCTGTAAGCAAGGGCCTGTGGTTCCTACACATTAAGCATAACTTGAAATAGGAAAGCTTGTTGTGTAACACCAAAATTAAAAAACCCCAAACTTTACAGAGCCTTTATGCACTGGTAGAAGTGCATAAAAATATCAATCAAACAAACAAAGTCTCATCTTCCATAGTCAGATTCATGAGACAGCAAATGAAGGTTTCACAAGATATCAGTGCCTATATCAACCTCTGACATTAGACAATTATGAAGGGAACACTGGATGGACAATTCAAAGTTAAAATGGTTTTATTTATGGAAATCTTCAACTTACCACTCCAAGGGTGAAGTAGTTAAAGAAGTAGTCATTGCATTTTGATGGAACCTGCTTATGGGGGGAGGGCGAATGAATTTTCATCTGTAAAAAATACCACATTTAGATTTCCTTACTGATGCTTACATTAGTGAAGGTGTGGTCAGCAGGATAACATTCAATCACATGTCTTTACAATGATCTCTATTCAAGTTAAATCCTAAAATCTAAAGTTTGAGATAGTGTAGTGTAAGTTGTGTATAATATGATTTGCACAAAGGGTCTCTGTTTCAATAAGAGACAGGGAAATTTCAGAGACTATTCACAGTCAACAGTTAGATCCTAGCTTTCTTCAACATTTGTGAGGATTTTCAAAGAGAAAATCCTACTTAAGGAAAAGACAGACAGATGCTGACAAAAAGATGGGCAAGGGATTTTATTTTTTGTCTATAACACAATAAATTAAGATTATTCTACTGGGACTAAAGATTTTAACAACAAATAAGAGATTACACATCATGAAAAAAAAAAACACACCACCTTTCTATACTGTTCCATTTTAATGCACCCTCTACATCCCTGCATAGCAATGAGAGATGCTAAATCATAGTTGGCGAGACACTTGCAATAAGTATCAAAACTTATTGGTCTTTTAGTCCTAGAGAAAGTAGTTTGTGGCAGATTCAACTTTGGTTTGGTCACAAGGTTACCAAGTAAATATATCTAAGCTAAATAAATCTAGGTTCGCCAGGTCACCCGGTAGTGCCTGAGCACAGCAATGTTCTTCATTTCCCCTCTGGCATGATGGGCAAAGCCACCATTGAAAAATGCCTTCTCCCTGTAGTACAGAAAGAGCAGGTGATATCCAAGACCTACAAATTCATCTAAAAATATTTGGAGAACACACACTGCATTTCCTTGTGCAGGAAAAAGGTTCATGGAGTTTTTCCACATCTTTCAGTAAATGAAAAAGTATAAAACTGATACTATTAGCAGTTTTCACTATTAAAACATTTGCTACAAAGGTAGTTTTAAATTATATTTAAATTGTAAAATGTTATACTTAAATGTTACCTGCTACTGGCAGTATTTTAACAACAAGAGCAAATTTTCAAAACACAAATGTGACCTTATTTTTTATTTTCTGAATAAAAACAAAAACAAGCAACCCAGCATTACACCAGTATAAAAAAGGGAGAAATAGAGGATGTAAACACCTGAACTGGCATGGGCGACTGGTGCCACCTTAGTCAGTGGGGGCATGTGCCCCCTCCCAGCAAACAAATCAGCAACTGGGGGGGGAAGAGGGTGTCC